TAGAAGTACAACGTGTATTCAAATAGAAGTACAACGTGTATTCATATAGAAGTACAACGTGTGTTCATATAGAAGTACAATGTGTATTCATATAGAAGTACAATGTGTACAAAAACTACAGTACTGTTTGAACTGAGCTCCAGATGATTAATGGAGAAAGTATGTGAAAAATGTACGGAGGAAAAGAGAGCTGCATTAAATTAATGTCATGTCCACAACAGTTTCATCTATCCCTCCATCCATCGGTCCATCCTTTCATCTCTTTGTCCGTCCATCCTTCCATCCATCCATTCATCCATGCATCCTTCCATACATACGTCCATCTGTCCATCCATCCTTACATCTGTCCATCCATTCTTACATCTGTCCATCCATCTGTCAATCAGTTCATTCATCCATCCATCCGTTCATCCATTCATCCGGTTGGTTCAGATGGAACAAAGGATTTTTTTCAGACCATGACTCACCTGAGCCTTTCCAAAGACTACCCCCCCCCCCCCCCCAGCAGCTTCTGCAGGCTTTCTCCTGCCCTCCTTATTGTTCTCCCTTGCCTCTTCCTACTCCTCCTCCTCCTCCGTCTTCCTCGGGCTCCTCTCATTGCGCCTCCTGCTCACGTCCCTCCACCCTCCACATTAATCACATGGCAGGGAGAATAAAGCCGAGCATCTGTAATAGTTTAGCAGCGTCACTGAAGGACGGGCAGAGGTCGGCGAGCATCGTAGGCACCCTGGGTACTCTGTGTGCGTATTAACGGTAATAAATGGCTTGGTGTGGACGTAAGGACAGAACGGGGACACGGTACTAAAAATGGATCACTACCTTAGGGTTTAGCACACATGCATGTAGTCGCTCGTATCTATAGGTTCACTAATGAAAACTCCTTCTGTTTCAAACAATGAGGCAAAATAATTCCCGTCTGAATCTGATTAAAAACCTTTATCTTTTGGAAATTGACCGCTTTTTTTTTTTTCTGCTTCTGGATGTTGGAGGCTGGGTTTACTGGAGTATTGGAGGCTGGGTTTACTGGAGTATTGGAGGCTGGGTTTACTGGAGTATTGGAGGCTGGGTTTACTGGAGTATTAGAGGCTGGGTTTACTGGCGTATTAGAGGCTGGGTTTACTGGAGTATTAGAGGCTGGGTTTACTGGAGTATTGGAGGCTGGGTTTACTGGAGTATTGGAGGCTGGGTTAACTGGAGTATTGGAGGCTGGGTTTACTGGAGTATTGGAGGCTGGGTTTACTGGAGTATTGGAGGCTGGGTTAACTGGAGTATTGGAGGCTGG